TGCTGGTCGGACGAGCAGTGGTGGATGACTACTCCGTTACAGGGCATTTATTACTATTTGAGGACATTCACCGGGCTATTGGGAGAGGTGTAGCCTGTAGGTAGGTACGCTGTAAGTTGTACCCCGGGTGGGTTTACAGGCAGAGTACGTATTACCTACTCCGTACTTGCTGGTAGGCATGCGATGATGTGTATTGTCCGTAGGTAGCCCGTGTACCCGTACATGTAGTAATAGCCTGTAGGTTGTAGGGTCCAAGTCCTTTCTGCGGAGAATGGGGGAGGGTCCCTTACCTGGTAAATGGCAGTACGAGTAGGTCCCTTCCCCTCCCCTCTCAGCGACAGCCTGCCCGGGATCCCAGTCCAAACCCCCAGAACCTGTAGACCAGCGGAGCAGATGGACGGGCAGGCCACCGTACAGGTACGTCGTAGGGCGTCCATAGGCAAGGACCCCGGGGGTTCTCTATTCCAGTTGGTCTAGGTAGCATCATGGCTCTGTGCACAGTACAAGGAGGGGTGTGGGAACACCCATGGATCACGGTCCATGGATCATGGATGGGGCAAGCGAGGAAGGTGTGGTCCACAGCTGCCTTGCATGGGGGCGTGTGTGTGTATTCCTGTTTTTTTGTTTTGTTTTTCCGGTGTGTATTTCTCTCTTCCTCTTGAATGTATGTGTGTGTGTGTGCTCTTTCTCCCTCTCTCTTCGACCTAGATATCGGGGAAAGGGGGGGGGGCGTGGCCTTTGCTAGGAAGGAGGACGAGCGAGGGGGGGGTTGGATGATGACGATGCTGGGGCGTAGTAGTCAATGGGCATCAAGTTAGGGTCCTTGCTTTTCTGGTGCTGAGAGCATCTACTTACACTATGGGCAATAGTATATTATACTATTATATGTACGGAGCATGGAAGGTTACTAAAAGTAGTAGCAAACCATATAGCAGTAGTACGGTACTTTGGTTTTTGGGCTCTGACCTCCCCATCCTCTCTCCCCTCTCTCTCCCTCTCTTCTCTCTCTCTCCCTCTCTCTCCCTCTCCCTCTCTCTCTCT